TTGTTTCATGTGCTTAGGCCTGCTCGTGTTTTAGAGAAGGAATGAAGAGATGAGGAAAAGGGACTGCGGCTCAGTCAGTGACTCTGTTTACGGAAACGTGAGAAAAAGAATTTGGAAGAAGTGCTCCATTGTGACCTTATGTGGGAAGCATTAAAAGAGAAAAGTAAGGTCTAGTGTCCTTCTGGGAAAGGCCAGAGCCTTGGGTTTCCCTGCCCCACTTTTGGGTCATCATTTGCCATCTCTGGCTCTGTGCTGGATCAGAATCATAATGACATTCTCCAGAGGCCGACTTAATTAACTCTATCATTAATTAGGATCAGTTATCCAAACTAATAAACCTCTTTGCCAGACTTGATTTACAATGCAGGGTGAGTCGCAGACCTTTAAAAAAAGTTAATACACAGAAAATCTCCCTGCGAGTGTAAATATTAAAGATGACTTGTGCAAAATTGTACCCACACCAGCACTAGTAGTAAGGATTCTAAATTATTGCCAAAAAAAGTTTTCTTTTTTTTAAAATCTGTCTTTCAAGTTTACACAAAGGAAAGCAGTAAATACTATGTTGTCATTTTATTATGTACGTCTATCATGTGCATTCAAAGAAGCTGTGTGACAAGATTTATCAATATAAAAACAAGCTATAGTACTTATTTTTCAAAATAAAATGTTGTGGTCCATTTTACCCTGTAAAGCATATTTCTGTATTTATAGATTTTAAACACAGTGAATCTTTTTTTCTATTACAAGTTTATTTAAAACAACTCAAGTTGTTATTGATTTAGCGACTGAATGAATCTGCTGCAGACAGAAGCAGAGAAAAGCTGAGAAAAGTTGTTTGATGGTGGGGAAAAGAATGAATCATTCTTTGCAGGAGCCATCGGCCACTTGGGCCAGCGTGTTGAGAAAAGAGGTCTGTCAAGGGCTGGCCTATGGGAAGAAAGTCAATGAATGTTTTCATGAAATGAATGTTTTTGTATAATGGCCTTAAACTTCTCTGGAAGCATTTCAAATAAATTACATTAAAATGTCGTCTTCTTTGTATATAGTGTTTGCCCTACAAACATCAAATTTCAGTGATCTTACTAGGAGGTTCTTACCAAAATTTTTGCTTGTACCCAAGTACACACATTAAGATAGGGTATGAGTTGATATAAATGCTACGATTTGATCTATCAAAGCTCTTGCAGAACTCATATTTCTAAGATCTGTTTTTTCAAGGATTCTCTGTTCACTTTTTTTCTTTTTTCTTTTTTTTCTAATTTCTCATTTTACATTGGACTATAATTGATGAACAATGTTGTATTAATTTCCAGTGTACAGCAAAGTGACTTGGTTATACATATACATGTATCTATTATTTTTCAAAGTCTTTCCCCATTTAGGTTATTACAGAATATTGAATGGAGTTCCCTGTGCTATACAGTAGGTGCTTGTTGGTTATCTATTTTAAATACAGCAGTGTGTATATGTCAATCCCAAACTCCCAATCTGTCCCTCCCCCCACCTCTTCGCCCCTGGTAACCATAAGTTCGTTCTCTAAGTCTGTTGAGCTTGCTTCTGTTTTTTAAACAAATTTATTTGTATCTTTTTTTTTTAAGATTCTGCATATCATATGATATTTGTCTTTGTCTGACTTCACTTAGTATGATAATCTCTAGGTCCATCCATGTTGCTGCAAATGGCATTATTTCATTCTTTTTAATGGCTGAGTAATATTCCATTGTGTATATATATATATATGTACCACATCTTCTTTATCCATTTGTCTGTCAGTGGACATTTAGGTTGCTTCCATGTCTTGGCTATTGTGAACAGCACGGTAACGAACGTTGGGATGCATGTATCCTTGCAAGCCGTGTTTTTTCTCCAGATATATGCCCAGGAGTGGGATTGCTGGATCATATAGTAGTTCTGTTTTTAGTTTCTTAAGGAACTAATACTGTTTTCCATAGAGGCTGTACCAATATACATTCCCACCAACAGTGTAGGAGGGTTCGCTTTTCTCCACACCCTCTCCAGCACTTACTGTTTGTAGATTTTTTGATGATAGCCATTCTGAGTGGTGTAAGGTGATGCCTCATTGTAGTTCTGATTTGGATTTCTCTAATAATTAGTGATGTAGAGCATCTTTTCATGTGCCTGTTGGCCATCTGTATGTCTTCTTTGGAAAAATGTCTAGGTCTTCTGCCCATATTTTGATTGAGTTGTTTATTTTTTTGATATTGAGCTGCATAAGCTGTTTGTAAATTTTGGAAATTAATCTCTTGTCAGTCGCATCATTTGCAAATATTTTCTCCCATTCTGTAGGTTGTCTTTTTGTTTTGTTTATGTTTTCCTTTACTGTGCAAAAGCTTTTGAGTTTAATTAGGTCCCATTTGTTTATTTTTTTTTACTTCCATTACTCTAAGAGATGGATTGAAAAAGATATTGCTGCAATTTATGTTAAAGAGTGTTCTGCCTATGTTTTCCTCTAAGAGTTTTATAGTGTCTGGTCTTACATTTAGGTCTTTAATCCATTTTGAGTTTATTTTTGTGTATGGTGTTAAAGCATGTTCTAATTTCATTTTTCTTACATGTAGCTGTCCAGTGTTCCCAACGCCACTTATTGAAGAGACTGTCTTTTCTCCATTGTCTAGTCTTGCCTCCTTTGTTGAAGATTTATTGACCATAGGTGTGTGAGTTTATTTCTGGGCTTTCTATCCTGTTCCATTGATCTATATTTCTGATTTTGTGCCAGTACCATACTGTTTTGATGACTGTAGGTTTGTAGTATAGTATGAAGTCAGGGAGGCTGATTCCTCCAGCTCCGTTTTTCTTTCTCAAGATTGCTTTGACTCTACTCACTTATTCATTTTTAATAACTATATATTGAATCTGTACTGTGTGTCAAGGGATGTCATAATTGTTATAGAAAATAAATGTTGAATCTCACTGTTAGTATAGGTGACTATTGATGACCTTGGGGCCAAATAATAGAAGGCAAATTTCACTTTGAAATTCTTCCCGGAATTTCAGTCCACTTTTTTTTTTTTTTAATTAAAATGGCTAGTTTTATTCCCCCAAAGAATAGTTTTAGATGAAAAGGCTCTACAGTTTTAAGTAGTTGGTAGCCAATTCTCAGTAGCGTGTTGGCCCAGTAAGGCTGGTAGTTAATCTTATCTTTATAATAAGTTGTCACCATTTTGTTTAACATACTGTTAATTTTCAGATTAGTCAAGATATTCACATAAATAAAAGTAAGTCCAAAATTTTTCCCAAATGAAAACTCACTCCTTCTCATTTTCTTACTCCTCCCTCCTTTTTATCCTCCTTGTCCTTCTCCAGTTCTACTTTAGATATTCTGTCCACTTTTTATTCCCTGGATTGTATTGACTTTGTTACTAGAGGGTGTCTCTTCTAGTCTATTAGAAGATATTTGTACTGACATTTTGTGGGTTAGTACAAATGACTGAGGGCTAAATGGCTTTCTTGAGTCTATTTTCAAGACGTTATTTGACACACAACTAAAGGTAATCCTCGCCGTCTAAATGAACATCATAAGCAAAGAAAAGAGCCAGACCTAGCAATTTTGTGCAAAATTAGATTGTGTTTCGGCTTCTGGGTAGTGGTCACCACCATCAACTGCTTTCGTTTCCATTCCTAGCACGGTCTACAGCAGCTGAGAATGCTACAGTCCTGTCTTAACAAAGTCCCTGTGGTTCCAGGAAACTGCAACCCACCGTGTTGGTGAACAAGCTGTTCAACTTTCCATTTACATTCTGTCCATGTCCACCTTTAACTAATTCTCCAGAAGCCTGAGGATTCCTTGGAGATTTAACAAAGAGAGCATCTGACCACACAATTTCACTTGGACATTTTCTCTCACCTGGCTCCCATCGGCATGTGGAAAAAGCCACTGATCATCATCTCTCATTGCTGTGGTTGATTCATTTATTTCATGCTATCTCATTTATTGACAGAATTCTGGAATTACAGTATTGGGAATTTAAATAGGATAACTCAACTCCAAACTCACCAGAACCTGAAGATCATTAAGATTTAAAACCTTGCCCACGTGAACACACAGTGAGAAAAGTCGACTGTATTCAGTGTACCTGGAGGATACTTATGCAAACAAGTTGGCAAAACAGTCACTGCTCACTGCATCTTATTTCCTTCCTCCAGGTTGATTTGCACTTCAGTCAGCTACATAGATCTACCCAGAGGAAGCAGTTCATCAGTTGACCTGGATGATTAGCAAGGAATTAGAAATGGCACTCTGTATCTTTGAGAGCTGGTCATCCTAGTTCAGGAAACTGGACATGCATTCTAAATAACTTGTCCACTTACACATACATGTTCACACACAAACACACCTACGTAAATATTAAAGAACTGTGTTATCTCGTCTGTAGAATTTTGAAACATAACATCCTTGATGTTCTATTCATCCCATGACTATGAAATGGGGATACTGTAAACCCTCAGGCCATTTAAAAAGTAAGATGTTGTACGTAAAATCACTTTGAAAACTATTAAGAGCTAGCAGTTTTCATTTTTGCTATTTAATAGTCACTTTTATATTTGCACATGGTGTTATGAAATTTCTTGAAAGTATGCCCTTGGCTGGGATTTTTTCACTCATTCTCTGCATATTTGGGGGGCAGGGTGGAGAGGGCTTCTCAATCCAGAGAATCTGGAATATTTTCTTGTATTTTTTCATTGGCATATTCCTTTCCACAATTTTCTGTTTTCTCTTTCAGGAACTTCAGAGACAGTGATGTTGAACCTCCTGGATTTTGTCTCTTCCCTCCTGGATTGGTTTTCA